CTTTTTTTTAACATTTTGTGTGTTAACTTTATTTATTAAATATCACATTCTTCGCACTTAAACCATAAAATTCAGTTCAACAGCAATATCACAAAATAGTTTTAAAATACACGGTCTCGCGGGCTGAGATAAAATGTTTTTTCTGTACTAGTTGGCATTGCTTGCTTTGAAATCTTTCAGTTTGTTAATCAAAAATTCGTTAAAGTGTTAAAAAATATAAAATCAATCATAAAAGAAATTTCAAATTTGGGCTTCCAGATGCCCATATTCTATGGAAGATTACGTTATTCAAAACTGGATGGCTCTAAGTACCGTTGTTTTATCTCAATGCGAGAAACATACATACATTTGTGTAGATTCTTCATTATTTAATTTCTTTAAATACAACACAGGGCGATAATACTGGATGACAACAATTTGAAAAGGGTAACAACGCTTGTAGTGAATCAACGCAAAATGCCAAAACGAAATTAACAGTCTTTCATAGCGCAAATTGCCCCTTTGAACTAATAAACACTACAGTAAGAAAGACTGGGTAAGAAAATATCTTCATAATGAACAGTCATAAGTTCATAGCTTTTACAATGTACGGAAAAGGCAGCATTACCCCTGGATTTAATAAAGCTTTATTATTACTCATTACGTACTCCGCTCTTAGGCACAACACGGGAAGGAAGGAATGCCCCATGCAGGAACGTTTCAAGGAAAACTGGCTCGTAACCATGTTACACATGGGAAAAACCACGAAAATCCCATGCAGCCAGCCTGTTCGCCGTGACCCCGGAGCGAACTACCAGTGCTCAGCGGCTTTTACCGCTCGACCGCTGGTGAGCCCAGTACAGCTTTATTAGACCGCATTTTTTTTACAATCAGACATCTTGGATTTCTAAATCAAAATGCGAATAAATTTTAATATAACAGCTCTTTCTTTGAAGAAAATTCTTTTTGTTCTTTACTTATTTCTAAATGAAAACACATATTTAAAAAAAAAAAAAAAACTGTGCACATTTCACAGATTAGACACGTGATCGATCATCGGATGATGACCTTTAACTCTTTCGCATCGAAGTCGCCCCAAATGCCCGAACATTCAGACATCGGCTGGACGCCCGAAACGCCTGAATAATTTCCTACCCAGTGCTTTCCCCCATCACGTTACTGCATTACTCATTGCTTACAGGTGTTGTTAAATCACATGTCAATCATTCTTTTGAAGCTACTAAAAGTAGCTTCCTTGTTTCCTTTGTTCCTTCCTTTCCTTTGTTTACTGTCAGTGTTTAGCTTTTGATGCCCGAAGTTGCAATCCCGTCCCAAGGGGGAACTTCACACAGTGTCAAAGCGTGGAAGAAAGAAGTTATCGCTTTACTTAAGTAAGGCTATTGTTAGCGCTGTCGTATTCAACTTGTCATGGGGGAAGGAAAAGCATTCCAGGAGAAATTCTTAGATACTGGCGTTTTCGATGTTTGGGGAATTGAGATTTTGCCCTCTCTCAATGCGAAAGAGTTAAGTCTTTTTAAGAACACGCTGCACAACTCATCTCGTTCCCATCTGAGATGTTCTTGTGCTGACCTTCTGTGGATAGCACTTGTGTCAACGAATACACACCTTAGGTCAGCAGGCATACAAACCCACACGGTCGCAGTCGGTTTTCGAACAGTCTGAGGCGAAATTCTGGTACGGGTAGCCATCTGCAGAAGGTGCTGTTGCCAGAAAGTGGCGTTACTGCTGTTTCTCCTGACCTCCTGGCTACGGAAACGTCGTGCCGGCTACGCGGGATATTTTGAAACTTCGCCGAAAATGTTCCGTCTGCAGCTCTGTCCCGGGTAGAGATCAACCAATCAGACGAAAGTTCTGTTTCTGAAGGATCTCGCGATATCAATCTGAGCGATAATCGATTACTGTTTGGCGTTCAAGTCTGTTTAGTAAGTGAAGATGGTAAACGCAGCTACGAAGGTTTCATGGAAATGTCCCCTTCGACGTCCATTCCCGCGTAGCGGAAGCATATGTGGTAGGGACTTTAGTGCCACATACCGATCCTCATTTTGTGTTGTTGCAGGCATATGACCTTGTTCCGATCTTCGCCGAACATTTTCCGGTTTCCAAAAATCGTTTATGTACTCTGGAAATGACACTTTAAGAAAGTCCTAATGCTTCCACTAGACGGCCTCTAAACAACCGATGTTCATCCAGGCTAACCGACTCAGCTGAGTCATCTTGGTGAAACATCGTATTCACTGTTACAAAACATTCAACGTGTGAATCACTTTTAATCTCCTCCTACAGAAGGAATGCTGCTAGTCGCACTTCCTTCTTATCTTCTTATCTAATCTTCTTATCTATCTTCTTTACACTTCTTATCTAAAACGCGTAGTTTTCGACGTCGCAGACAAAATGTACACATTCCCAAGTTTATAAACCTTATAATTTTAATCAAAATCGTAAAAAACAACCTTATATTTAGCGTAGGTATAATGAAACACTCAATCGATTTCGAGGGCAGCTAAAGGTCCCTCCTCATCAGGACAAAGAAATACATAGAAAGAAGAAAATAGGAATCACAGAAACACGTGGTGCTTATCAGCACTGCACGTGGTTATAACTAGATTTTTAATCAGAGTTGCACTGGCCGCCTACTTTTACTGAGCCAGGCTGTCTGATCAAGCATAAAGAAATATTAGCGAAGTTAAAATAGGGAGCGAGGGGCAAATGCACATTACGCTCAAAATCTGAACTTCAAATAATGGAAAGCAACCACTGAACGGATTTTTATACCCTCTGGTAGTACCAAGACCATAATACTGGTACTTTTAACCATAATTTTGATTTTGGGTCTGCAAAAATCATCCAAAAGTCTTCTTCCATAGGCGAATTGGATTTTCATTTTCTTGAGGCTTTTCACATTCACAAAGATTTAGAAAGTTTAGTTAATGATTTGAAGTCCAATCCAGTCCTTCCTAATGCCTTTAAAATTCTACTATCTTAATTCAATTATTTTTGCCGATAGATGGCGTTACCTCCTCGCACTTGGTACTACCAGAGGGTATAAAAATCCGTTCAGTGGTTGCTTTCCATTATTTGAAGTTCAGATTTTGAGCGTAATGTGCATTTGCCCCTCGCTCCCTATTTTAACTTCGCTAATATTTCTTTATGCTTGATCAGACAGCCTGGCGCAGTAAAAGTAGGCGGCCAGTGCAACTCTGATTAAAAATCTAGTTATAACCACGTGCAGTGCTGATAAGCACCACGTGTTTCTGTGATTCCTATTTTCTTCTTTCTATGTATTTCTTTCTCCTGATGAGGAGGGACCTTTAGCTGCCCTCGAAATCGATTGAGTGTTTCATTATACCTACGCTAAATATAAGGTTGTTTTTTACGGTTTTGATTGTCACATTAGCGTGTTTCTCTTCTAGTCTACTTATAATTTTACTTTTTAACCTCTTCTATTTCATTTTTATTAAAAAAGTTGTCGAATACATGGTTATTCCATACCGAACTCACAATATCCCCAAATTGTTTTCAGCCGTGTATCCGTCTATGGGAAAGAATGTCTTCGAGGAGAACTTTCTAAGGGAAATGGGCTCGTATACACGTTACAGAGAGAAAAAACCAGAAAAATGCTCCTACAGCCAGGTCCTTCACCTGGTATCGAACCTAGATCAAACTACCAGTGTTCAGCGACTTTAACCGCTTGGCGGATGGTAGGCTCGTTATACACAAGGAAAACAATGAAAACGCGCATGCAGCCAGAGATTTCGCCAGAATTCGATTTCGGGTCGAACTACCCGTATTCAGTGGTCTTATCCACTTGGTTGTTGCTGCGTTTCTAACATTTTAAAAAAAAAGGTGGGGATCAAAATGGTCTTGCAATCAACCCATCCGCCAGGGTCTGGTCGTCGCCGATTGGCTAGCAGTTTGCAACTAATCGTCCAGTGCTGTTTACTCTTTTTTTTTAATATGATACTTACACATATAAAAACGCTTCTCTTTTTGGTTAGTATAAAATCTCATCCTCTCGGAAAATGAGGACACGCTAAATAAGCAGCAGTTTTACGTCCTTTCAGATTTTTCAGTTTCAATACTTTCTGTGGTCCGAAATAAAAAAAAAAAAAAAAAAATTAATGCCGATTATGCTAAATCTGCTGCCACAGTAGACATAATAATTCAGATGGAACAAAATTTCTCGTGGCAGGAAGCGCAAGTTCACGCCTGTCAATGGCAACGGCCCTGAGCACCTTACAGGTGACAGGGCGATTTAGCTCATTTCCGCCCCCCCCCCAATTTTAATGGAGAGCACCCCGAGGGGACGGTTCCGAGGGTCTCCAACTCCTCTTCCCCTACCAACAACCTCTCGAGAGGACTTTCGGCTCGCCGCATATTTAGAGTGCCCCCATGCCGCACGGACACTATACATTTACGGAATTACTTCTCCAGGATTCGAAACCAGGCCCTTCGACACGGTAGTCCGCGACCAATATACCTGTTGGGCGGCTGATTATTTATTCTAACAGTTGTTGATAGAAGTCAAGCACATAACGCTGTGGTTCAAGCAGTAAATATGTTTTTACCAAGCCTTTTAGCTCCAAAAAAGTTTTTTTTTTTTTTTTTTTTTTTTTTTTTGGGCTTTGTTATCTTAGGAAACAAGTTATACTATCATATTTTTAATATGAATGATTAATTTAAGCATTATGATTCGCGGAATGGCAGTTTCTTTGCCAAAAACTTTTGACACGCTATATGCACCAAATTTAATTTAAAATCTGCAACGAAACCGCTTTAGCAGCTTTATTAAACCTTTTCAGCAGCTTTAATAAGCAGTTTCAACAGCTTTAATAAACCGTTTCAGCAATTTTAATGAACAATTAGCAGTTTTAATAAACCATTTCAGCAATTTTGATGAACCGTCAGCAGAACCGTTTTAGCAATTTAATGAATAGTCAGCAGCTTTAGCAGTATTAATGAACTTAGCAGCTTTAATAAATCTCAAAAGAAAAATCACTTACCTGAAAGTGACAACAACGTTCGTAGTGGGCCAACCGATGACAAACGAAGTGGCTGGCGACTTAACCGTCTCACAAACATCACTCAGACATTGCGATAACCACATCTCACTCATCGGTATCTTCTCTTTCAGTTTGTAAGTTCCATTCGATCTGCAAAATGAGACGCACGTCTTTTTAAAAAAACCTACTTTATGTTGAAATATTTCTATTATCAGAACCGGATTCAGAAGTGTATGCATGTATGTATTCATGTATGTGGTTCACGTATGGATGTATATTATATACACTCTGCTAAAAAATAAAAAGTGACAATTATACAAGTGACAATACTTGTATATCTTTTCTTTTACGTGGCCAGCTGACGAAATTTAACTTGCGTTTTTAGCGTCTCGAAACCGTGACTTAGGATATATTATATTTATATATAGCATTGCTCTAATATTGGTACTTTGACACAAAATAGGATTTCTTCTGAAATGAGGAATATGAAAAAATAAGAAATATGGAATATGGAAATGGAAAATTGAAAAAATTGGGAATGGAATTTTGGAAAACGGAAAAAAATAGAATTTTTCGACAATAGAAAAAAATGGAAAAACGAAATATGGAAAAAAAATGGTACGAAATATGGTAACTCATTTTTCTTCCCTCTCATTGCACACGAAAGGAAAAAAAAAATGCCTCGTTTATTCTTTCAAACACTTTTAACAAAGTTACTAAATAACATTTTGCGTTATTATCGCTTATAAAAATATGGCAAATTTCCAAATACGTTAAAATATATAAATTCACGTCACGAATATTTTGAATAAAAAACTCTTAATTAATTTTTTGACGGTACATCTACATTAAGATAATGGCAAAATTTTTATAGGTTATACTTCAACACTTTTTTCGAAAAATTTATAAAAATTACTAAAAAAAAAATTTTAAAAATAAATCTTTAAAAAAAAAAACCTGCGATTTTTTTTTTTTTGATTAAAAAAATCAAACTTATGGATTCATTTTTTCATAGTTCAAAATTAGCTTTTAAAAAAAAAAAAAAAAAAAAAAAAAAAAAAAAAAAAAAAAAAAAAAAAACGAGAAATTAGTAAATATATACCAAATTCAATAAACACTGGAGAAGCTAAAATTTTGTGAGATAATTTTTTTAAAACTACTCATGCGATTTTTACAAAACTATGGCATAATTTGAGTCGTAAAATCGAAATATGGGAAAAAAATCGATATGCCATATCAGAAAAAAATCCAATTTTGTGTTAGAATATACCTATGTTAGAACGATGCTATACAGCGCAAATCGGCAGCCCTTTTTTACAGAAATAGAATACGTTTGATTATCATTTCGCCGCCCATGCGCTCTGTGCTTCATCCCCCCCACTAGGATTGGCCATATAAAGCAGAATATATACTCTCAATTCGCCCATTCGAGACATGAAAAACGCAAGTTAATTTCATTAATCGGCCTAATAGAACGGCCGATACAGAACTCCCCCCCTTTGATTCATGCAAAGTGTACGAATGAATGTATGTGCGTGTAATACACATATTTCTGAAACCTGTTTCGATAATAGAACAGTACACCAAAAATTTCAACAACTAAGTTTTACTTACTGATGACAATATACTAATTTTTACAAGGGACACAAATTTTACGTTTTATTTAATTAATTAGTTAGTCCAATAGTCATAAAGCATACTAATGGTAAGACTTTCAAAGGCATGTTTCTTCTTCTTTCGAATGTGTCAGTCGAAATGGCGCGAGAATGTATCCGTTGCTAAAACACATTAAATAACGGGGAGAGCTTTAGAGATTGAAACTATTAAAATATCGAAGAGTTAATCATATGGCATTTTACAGGCCTAGACGAACTTTCGCTCAATGAAATGTACCAAATATTCATAATTCTGAAATGTGTCATAGGATTAGGAAGTACGTTGTAATTTATTACCAGTTTAGCCTAACTTCATTTCAGGGCTATAAAATTTCCCTGCAGTTATTAAATTAACGACTACTTTTCATGATCGTTAATACTATTTTATTGACTTTTGCTAACGGTTATTAAAAAAAAGAGAGAGAGAGATGATGAATAAATAATTTATGACCTATGATTATTAAAACTGCTGATAATTTTCACAAATACGAATCTTCAACAGTAATTAAAGTTCCTTACCTTGTTTCAAAATATATATAAAAAAAGGCGAAACAATTGCTAAATAATATTTTTTAAGAGGTCCAGTTTTCCCTGGATTTATTAAGATCATCGAGATTCTTTGGTTTATTAAATTCCGGCAAAGAACTCGAAGCCTTCAGTGGAGGGATGCTTTCTAAAAAACTCTTTACAGGAAATTGGCTCATATACACGCTACATATGGGGGAAAATCGCAAAAATGCCTTTGCAGCCAGCTCGTTCGCAGGAATTCGAGCCCCGGACGAAACTACCAGTGTTCAGAGATTTTACCGCTCGGCCGCTCGTTGGCACGGAAATCGAAATCAAACTGCTAGTATTTACGATTTTGTTCGCTAAACTCATAATGAATCAAGAACCACAATGATTTACAATACGAATTCCAGTAAATAATGCTTAAAAATTACATTAAAACTGAGTTTCCTTCAAATGAAAAATATTATTTACCTTGATTTGGCAACTAGCAAGAGGTCATTGAACAAAAACAGATGTCTATCTTGCTTCTGCACACCCTGCAAAACAAAATAAGGAAATTTTTAATAAATTACACATACACATAACATATAATAAGTATTTTTAAAAAGGTAAATTTCAGCACACTTCTAGAGAAATATGAAAGTGATGCCAAATGAAAATAGTGATTTTCAAAAAAATCTGGAATAGCGTTAGATGAGCTTTTTACATAAAAGCTAACTTGTCACATACCTATGTTAAAAATAATTGGTTCAGGAAACATACGCATGATTTCATTTAAGCACAGTTAACGTTTAGATAAACTTAGCAGCTTACAACTCAATATTTCAATATCTGCACATGTTAGGCTATGATGGAAAACCCACAGCGGTAAACCGCTTCAAGAGTGCTGCGATTTTTTTTAACGCTAACATAATCATTTAAGCTAATTTTAAAATTAAAAAAAAAATCTGATGTGGACATTATATGACTTCCTTGTACGGCCTATAAATTACACACAGTTTTGCTGTATTTCATTTAAACTTATTTCTTCGAATTTAATTAGAGATATATTTCTCATCCAATTAATTCAGTTCTCACTTCGCCATTAAGGCAAAAATCTATAAAAACTGAAAATATCTCATTAAAAATTTTAAAGCGCAGAAAAACATAAAACACCAAACACAGTTATAAATAGCAGGGGGGGAAATTGCAATTAAAATTACAGTTTCTACGGGGGGGAAAAAAAAAAAAAAAGAACAGCGGGCAGGAAGACAGATTTTTCGGTGCACAAAACAACGTTTACTTTCGGTCTCACTCGGCAAAAAGACACTTAAGTTCGTGCAGAAACTGACTTAATTTACTGTTCTACTAACAGTTTCAAATGTAAACAAACGGCGGCCTCGTTAGGCTTAGTTCCAAATAAAGAACTTTTAAATTGTTAATAATTCTACAATTACTGCATGCAGATTAACGAGCGACATAAAACACTTAACCCGGAAAGTCAGAACAACAAAATTCAATTACTGTTAAAGAGAAAAATGCAGTTTACCAACATAAAAGAAAAAAAAAAAAAAAAAAAAACCTGAGCTCAGCAAGCCAAGCCGTGTAACAGATTAGGAATATATATATCGGCACTACTCGTTTTTGAGTTTATGAGTTTTTTGTTACTCGACACGTACGTACAGACGTCACGAAAAAAAAAAAAAAAAAAAATCTCTTTTGAATCCATTTTACAATCCGTTTTAGGAAAAAGCGTCCTTTATTCTGTCCATACGTACAGATGTTACGTAAAAACGTCTTTGAAATGGATTCTAGAGCGGTCAAAACGGATATTTTTGTTCAACAATGAACCCGAAATTTTTCGCGATTACAATACTTCCTTTTCACTTCGTACAAGGAAGTAATAACAAAGATAACAGGAACTTACAACATAGGAACAGGAACTAAAAATACATTATCTTTATTACCCTTTCTCACCTAGCTTGGCTGTACTATGGGAAAAACCTGTGCGAGGTTACAAATACTAAACATAAAATGCAAATGTTACTTACCATAGCAAAATGAACCGGACACTCCATGATGAAGACCCGGAAGTTGTCATCGCCCCACAAGTGCTTTCGTTGGAAAGAGACCGCTTCCGGCCGGCTAGGACTAGTGGGCCTGCAAAGTAAAGAAAAAGCATTTTAAGAAACTCCTTGAAAATGCAAGAAGTTATAACAAAAGGAGATTTATTTTTGACCTTTCCAAACAGTTTGCGAGGAAAGAAATCAGACGATTATAGATAGAACCGCAACTAAGGTTTCGTTTGGTTTGGTTTATGTGATTACGGCGAAGCACTCGTGGGCTATCTGATGGGAAGAAGCCTTCCTGGAGGACTTTCTTAACGAAAACTGGCTCGTATGCATGTTACACACGGGGAAAAACAACACGAAATCGAACGACGAACAGAACTACCAGTGTTCAGCGACTTCACCGCTCGGTCATTGGTGAGGTTCAGGGTTTGCAAAATTTGACCTGAATTAATTTTCAATGCTAACTCTCTGTGTTTGTTTATCCAGTGAAAAATTAGACGAAACTTAAAAACGCATTTAAAAAAAATCCAAAATACTGAATACTCAGATACTGAAACATAGTAAAGGTAAAATGGAGGGCTAATTTTAATCATAATATGCTCATTTCACTGTATTAAAAACTGCGATAGAACTAACATTGCTACCTCAACTTTATATACACAACTTACAAATTTCATTGACATAGATGTCTTAATTCGTACATGACTAGTCCAAGACAGTTGTCGCTGACTGTAACGTGGCATTCGATGGTAAGATGAGTATAATGCGCAGTTACACCAAAAAGAATTGTTTTAGTCCAAAGAGCCTTTGTCCTTGAAGGACTATTGTTTTCGTTTTGCGACTTTGCGCTGAAAACTTTAAAACGTTGTATCACATTTCAAATCGTTGCCACCAAATACTATCACCATGTATTATATTTGAAGAAATTAAATAATGAAGATTCTGCATAAATGTATGTATATTTCTCGCATTGTGATCAAACAACGGTACCTTCAGCCATCCAATTTTTAATGACGTAATCCTACTGCGAATATGGGCAAACGGAAGCCCAAATTTGGTGTTTGGTGTATTTAATTACGGCAAAGCACACTACGGCTATCTGCCTAAGGAAAGGGATGCCTTCGTGGAGGACTTTCTAAGGGAAACTGGCTCGTATACACGTTACACATGGGGAAAACCACAAAAACGCCCATGCAGCCAGCCCGTTCGCGGGATTCGAACCTCGAACCGAACTACCAGTGTTCAGCGACTTTACCGCTCGGCCGCTGGTGGGCCTGAAGCCCAAATTTGAAATTTGTTTTATTGTCGATTTCATATTTTGTAACACTTTAACGAATTTCTGATTAACAAGCTCAACAGTTTCAAAGCAAGCAATGGCAACTGTACGGAAAATTCTCCAGTACGCGAGACTGTGTATCGGAAATTCTAAAGCTATGCTCTTTTTAAATTACTTGACATTTAATTATTTATACTGCTTTTGAATTGAATTTTATGTGGTCTAAGTGTGAAGAACATGATATTTAATTAAAAAAATCTGATGTGTACACCACATGACTTGCTTGTACGGAATATTAAATTATACGCATTTTCTCCTGCATTTCATTTAAACTTATTGGATTGAATTGAATCTACTTCGTCGATAGCGCATAAACCACAATAGAATAAATGCATTCTTTAAAGTTCACTGTATTTGTTTACCATAGCGACACTCTGGCGCTAGGTTCACTTAAGTATTTTGTTCATATTATAACTCAGAATGCACAAAATTTATATCATTTAAAGAATTATCTAATCGTTGCCACATGTTCCATTCAAATACTATAATAAAGCTAGAACTATGTATAAAAGAAGTTAAGCAAACAACACAAAAAAAGAAAGAGTTTTTCCTAAGGGCATAAAAAAATCTTAACCGGAAGATAAGAACAACATAATTCAGTCCTTTTTAAAGCAAAAAAAAATGTACAATTTACAAACATATTAGGTGTGGTGTATTTAATTATGGCAAAGCACACTAGGGCTATCTGCCTAAGGGGAGGGATGCCTTTCGTGGAGGACTTTCTAAGGGAAACTGGCTCGTATACACGTTACACATGGGGAAAACCACGAAAACGCCCATGCAGCCAGCCCGTTCGCGGGATTCGAACCTCGGACCGAACTACCAGTGTTCAGCGACTTTACCGCTCGGCCGCTGGTGGGCTACAAACATATTAGAGTAAAGAAACTGAAATCAATAAGCCGGTTAACAGAGTGTATATATATATATATTTATACGTTTGGTGCGGCCGATTGCAACCCAAATACGAGATGCACATCTACATGTTATAACAGTCCTATATACAAAATTTCAACGTTCTGAGGCTACTCGTTTTTGAGTTATGCGAGATACGTACGTACGTACATACGTTCGTACAGCCGCCACGATCTTCAGAATTCATTTTAAAGTAGTTTTATAATCTTTTTGGAGTAAACGAGTCTTTTTATTCTGTCTTTAGGTACACATATCACGCAAAAACATCGTTAAATAGCATTCGATAGCGGTCAAAATTGATATTTTCGTTGAAATGTGTCGTCTGAAACTTTTCGCGATTGCAATACTTCCTTTTTACTTCGTACAAGGAAGTAAAAAAGGTAACACAAAAAACGTTAAAAAAAACTGTAAAACCCTCAACACTAAACAAATCGCTAGTATTTCACCTTGATCAGTAAGTACCGTTAACTTACTGAAGGTTTGAGCATAATTATCGTACGATTAATCTTATCAAATAAGAAGAATGTAACTGCAATTTGCGCCCATATGCCGGAGCAATAGGCGATGTTTCAGGCTCGCTCGTACATGATATTTCAAATGAACAATTAGCGATGAGTGCCAGCTCGATCCCTACTTGATCCTATTGACAGTTGGGATGCTTAGGAGACGTTTAGCGCTCTCAATACGCCCCTAGACCTTTCGCGCTTGCAACGGCTTTGACAGAACATGGCTCTGCTTCCTATGACTGATAGCCGCATAATTGAAGCATCACACATCTGGATGTGCTGTAGTGCTTTAGAGGAGATACATCCATATTGAAGGTACTCTATATACAAACTGACATCTTCGATTGTTCATTTTATCATGTCTACTTCCATACACCATAATTGTCTGTAATTCTTTTTATTTTATTTGATCCTTACTCTGTGTGTATATTGTGGGTACGTTTGAAAAATCACATGTAACTTTTCAGTAATCGTGATTTTTGGTGATTTTTCCTTAATTTATGACAACCAGTATACTTCGTATTCCACGTTTTTGTTTCACATATATTACATTTCAAGAACATATTTACTGCTTTTTAATAAAAGTAATCTAACTGATATGAATTGAACGAAAACCCAAAAATGCGTCTGGAGTCTCCTTCCTCGCGAACAAACGGACTTGTCAAAAGTGTTTCCTAACTGAAAAGCAAACAAGTAAGATACCAAACAGCGATAACTACCACTCAGTGTTAAGACATCCCAACCTAGCCTGGATAAAACACTTTCTAGACAAATGAAGGGTGAAAACTCTTTTCATTGAAAGCACATACTTTAGTCCTCGCGGACAATACCCATTCCATTGGAAAATTGGCATAAAGAAAAGCAGGGAGAAAGAAATGCACGTCTCCTGAAGAGTTCCCTCCACATTTCGGAGATGCGAATCTATTCATTTCTTTACATTAGAGCCTATTAAAGACACGTAATCATTTAAAATTAGTTAAGTCACTATTTAGTAAACTAACTGACTTACGTAGTTAATTACATTACAGTTAATTTACTATTTTCAGTCACTCATTCATCCAATCTACATTTACGCATCAACAAATAATATGTCATAATTCGTAAATTCGTAAACGAAACGTTATTCATAAAAGCTCATTTCGAAGCGGCAGTGACAGAATGAATTACACAAAACAAAACAAAAAAATATGAAGGGTTTCAGATTCTAACGGTTGCCCGAAAGGGTTTGTTATGTTCTTTAATGCTCTCGCTGAGCTCGTAGTCTACCAAACTACTGGTACACTCACTCTACTAACTTCTTTTTTCTTCCTTGTACGAAGTAAAAAGGAAGTATTGTAAACGTGAAAAGTTTCAGGCAGCATATTTCAACGAAAATCCATTTTGACGCATCGAATGCATTTTAACGATGTTTTGCGTGACGTTTGTACGTAAGGCAAATCAAAGACTCTTCCTCCAAAAAAATTATAAAACTGCTTTAAAATTATTCTGAGGAATTTTTCGTGGCGTCTGTACGTACTACGTATCTCGCTTAATCAAAAATGAGTGGCTCAGAAGGTTGAAAATTAATGCATAGGAGTGCTAAAACATGTAGAGTCCCTCGATTTTTGGTCAATCGCCGAAACAAACGTATAACTATAAATATATATATATCACTGTTACCCGGCAGTAATCTCAGTTTCTTATCTTATAGTTTGTAAAAGTGCATTTTGCTTTAAAAAGGATTGAATTAGTTGTTCTTTATCTTCCGGTTAAGGTTTTTATGCCTTTAGTAAATCTGCAAGCAATATTTGTAGAGTTAATGAACAATTTAAAAGCTGTTTAAGTGCGGTTAAGCCGTAAGTTTTAAACAACATGGCGTACATATTTGTTTACATTTGAAACAGTAGAATAGTAGATTTGTTGCCAATCTACAGTGACTAAGCTTCGCAACGACAAAGATAAAGCCCTCATTTATTATTGCGAATTAAATCATGCTTAATCCTTTCTGGAATTTTTTCGAGAAAATAAGTGTTTAAGATTTGCTTCGTAATTTCTAATATAGATATTTTGAGTTTTTATGTATTTTTGCCAAGTCGCGAAGTGAGAACTCAATTAATTGAATGAGAAATAATGAATCGTCTGCGAAAAACTTTCTTTGTATTCCGCGTATTTTATTTTATAAACTAAGCCGTAATACGGTCGGAGTTACTGTTACAGAACTACAAAATGAATTAAAAGAAAACTACACAAAGAAACTGGTCCTTAAATTGTTCACCATTCTTATACTCGTGTGCTTGTTTCTGGAATGAAAGGTAGACCCCATTTTTAGAACCTGTAGTGAAATGAACAAAGCTG